CACTTATGAAGAAGGGTATGCTGCGTTTCTGTTTTGAATACCACATGCATTTGTTGTCAGGTATGGGTATGTTGATGTATATTGTAATTACGTTGAAGACATCTAGGATATCTTGCAAAAATTGAATTTTGTCAAAGGGACACTGCAGCATTTAGCCAAGGTAAAGTGAACACCTGGACACTTCTTCAAGGAATACATCCTCTCTAGTGGACATGAACACATCTTCATTCACAGTTTGGGTTTTAACACGTGATTAATTATAGTGTTTGACATGCTGAAAACGGCTGCTCAAACAAAAACAGCTTTTAGCGGTTTGAAAACCGCTCCATTTAGCATTTTTTAAGGCAGTTGAAAACGCTGAAAACAGCAAACACTCAATATCATCAAAAACGAGCATTTTTTCAATCTTAAAGATACTTTTTTTTAATAGCAAAAAAAAAGTTACAAAAAGTTAGCTAAGAAGTTATGACTTAGTAAGTGAGTTATAACCATAGGTTATAAGTGACTTATAACTTTCAAGGAGCACCTAAGTGGGACAGTCCTACTTTGTGCGGCTCCAGAACATGTTAAAGCTGCACAAGCTGCTGTCGACCTCACTGAGAAGGCCACTGACCCCTTGGTCGTTGCAAAGGATGCCCTCCAACACATCCGAAATCGAGGTGTCACACACTATGTGGACTTGAGCAAGACCAACAAGAGACGACGTGACGAGGTGGACACCGATGAGGAGGAGGGAGAAGACGACAGAGACATGGATCCTTTGACAGTGCAAGACCTACCACCTGATCGATGGCAAATCAGTGACGATGGCAAGGTTTGGACACGGATCCACAACGTGCCCAGGCAGAAGCTCTATGTTCCTGCTGCCGAGATGGACATCCCGGTCCACCGCTTCAAGGATGAGCGCATCACCGATGTGAGGCGCGGTGGGCCCAATCCAGAACATCTACGATTCCGAGATGAGTGGCGACTACCTCATGCAGATCGCACACTCCACTACACTTGGACTGGAACTACGACCTTCATCGTGGATGTGGACAACATGTCTGAGGGATATGCCCCCACGACGCCTTTGGATTCAGATCATGAAGGAGCTGGAGAACCTCCCGATGAAGAACCCCCTTCTGGTTCCGCTGGACCTACAGGTCCTAGTGCAGTTCCTGGTTTGGCTTCCAAGGCAATGGCGAGACCGACTTCCTCTACTTCGACTCCTGGACATCAACATCAAGCACTTCCCCCTGAAGATCGACGAGAAGCTCTCGCTCCTGGAGAAGAAGTACAAGATCTACCGGTATCACCAACGGTGCAGAGTGTGATGGAGCCAGAACCACTGGAAGAACCTGTTGTGCCTTCCCTGACGGAGTCACACCTTCCAGTACCACCTGATCAACAACGACTGTATCAAGCTCCTGCTGGCGGAGAAACCTTTGCTGCTCAACGAAGCCGATATGAACAGCAGGAATCCCTGCTCTTCAAGAAGCCTTCTGGCTATGGGCCTGCGAGAAATGTGCCTGAGAACAGGCCAACGCCCTACTCAGAGAGAACAGTTGGAGAAAACTCCAAAGAAACCTTCGAGTTTGCCTGCGATGTGGATGTTGTCCCAAAGGGCATGGTGCTTCCATCTGGCTGGACTGTGGAAGATGGCTTTCTCCAACTTGGACCAGTTCAAGATGAATGGATCTTGGAGGGCAACTACCTCACCAAGCGCCACTATGGAGCTCGTGACTGCGAGTTCACCCCAACAGCGGAGAACTGCCCCATCGACCTGAAGTACCTGACCAAGCAGCGCATCACCAAGCTATCAAATGGCCAGGTGATCCGCGACAAGTGGACGAGGAGCACACCGTGCACCAGACTTCAGGGCTACGATTGGACGGGCTATACCCGCTTCAAGATCCACACCTCTTGGAGACGACAAGCCTACAAGGACTTCTATGACAAGAGCCAGAACACCGAGACCATCTACATGCAGCACGAACAGCTCAGTGAGCGATCAATGTCCCTTGCGGACAGACTGGCCTTTCTTGAGGCTAAGGAAAAAGAACTGAAGTCCTTCTTCGAAAATGATGTTTGGGTCTTCGACACCATGACCGAGGACAAACGCCCCCGCACGATACGTGCCAAGTTCATCCTGAACTGGAAGAAGGATGACAATGGTGGGCGCCGAGCCAAAGCTCGCCTGATCTGCCAAGGATTCAAGGATCCTGATGCTTTGAATGGATCACTGACGACGGCTTCACCGACTTTGACGAGACTGTCCAGAAGCCTGATCCTGAGCATCACCTCTATGCTGGGCTACACCCCCTTCACCGCCGACATCACGACCGCCTTCCTCCAAGGAAAGAAGTATGACCCCAACTCAGACAGAGTTTTGTGGATCAAGCTTCCGAAAGAAGCTGAACAGATCCTGGGGCTCCAAGGAGATCATGGGCAGGTCATGAGGCTGACAAAGCCGATGTATGGCTTGGTGGACGCACCGAAAGCCTGGTTTGATGAGGCAGTCACCCGAATCCTGGAGACTGGAAAAGGTGCAATCATTCAACATCCGTTGGATAGCTGTCTTTTTCTGGCCTACGATCGACCGATTCAACTTGGTGCTGAGGATCAACAAGAGCCGAAGTTGCTGGCGATTTTTGGGATCCACGTGGACGACCTCTTCGGGGCCTACAACACTGAGGACCCGGCGACCCTGGAGATCATCAACAACCTGCAGAACGTCTTCAAGTTCCGCGAGTGGCACTCAGGGTCCGAGAAGGAGGAGCTCACGTACTGCGGAGCCCAAATCTCCAAAACTTCAGATGGCCATTGGAAGATCTTCCAAGGTGACTACTTCAAGCGACAGAAGCCAATCACCATCCCCAAGGAGCGCCAGAACAAGGACCTCCCTGTGACGGAGAATGAGCGCACCGCGCTACGTGGTCTTCTGGGTGCACTAGCCTGGCCGGCTACCCAAACGGCACCACACCTTCAGGCAACCACAAGTTTGCTTGCTGGAGAGATAACCAGTGCAACAACAAAGACTTTGGAGTCAATGAATAAAGCACTGAGATATGCCAAGGCCAACTCTGACGTCGGCCTTGAGTACAGGCACTTGGGTGGCAAGGACGAGGTGACCTTCATAGCCTTCTCCGACGCCTCCTTCGGATGCCGAAATGACCATTCGAGCCAAGGTGGTTTCATCCTCCTGATGGTCCACAAGGACGTTGCCAATGGAGCTGAAGGGCATTACAACGTCATCGACTGGCGATCGTGGAAGTTGGCCCGGATCGCTCGATCAACTTTGGCGGCGGAGAGTCAGGCTGCGAGTGAGGCAGCAGACTCGCTGCTCTTCACGAGCACCTTCTGGAACCTGATCTGGAAGCCGTGGCTACCTTTGGACCAGGTTGAGACGGCACGATTGGTGCATGCTCCGAAGCTGGTCGTGGACGCCAAGGCCCTCTACGACTTGCTGACCAAGCCTGAACTTCAAGCAACAAGTGGAACTGATAAAAGAACAACCATAGAAGTACTTGTCACCCAGGACAAGCTCTGTTGCTGCGGTGGAGCAACTATGTGGGTCTCATCTGAGAGACAATACTCAGATGGGTTGACGAAGCAAGGCGCGGCCCAACTCCTGGCCGACAGGCTACGAACCCATATGGTCAATCTGACCAGTGACATCACCTTTGAAGCATCGAAGAAGAAGGACCCCAAGCTGCGAAGACAGAACGCCCTGATGTATGCCGAGAAGAAGCCCTCTCGAGCACTGGCTGCAATGTTTTCCATGTGTATGATGGCAACTTGCAGCGCTGAGGAGATCGACATCCAGTACAACCCCAACCACTACTACTTCATCAACCTGAACTTCAACTTCAACCTTGTCCCGATCCTCATCACCACGATCATGATCTTGCTCTTCGGCTACTGGTGGATGAGGGGCCATTTGGCCACATGGACTTTACCAACTACCTGGTGGAGAGCGACTGCCGAGGCTGAAGTCGAAAACTTCCAAGAAGCGAGTAGACCAGCCCTTGTGGATGCAGGTGTCGAAACTGACATCAGGATGGGTGATTTCGTGACCCAGATGGAGTATGTGCAATTGGTGGATAGCATTGAAGCTACGCACATCCCTCGAGAAGAACACCAGAGGATGCTGGACGACCAGGAGACTAACTCCCGGCTGAATGCACACCACCGAGTTCAACATCCCATCTACTTCACCCATCACGGCAGATGCTGGCATGCAGATTACTTCTGCGTCAGAAGCCAAGCATCGACAAGAATCCATCAGCGTGAGTTTTGTACCCGCTGCTGCCAGACTTTGGGCACTGCGATGGCACCACAGGACTGGGAGCGCGATCTTTGAAGATGGCTGGTTTGGATTTTTCCTGTAGCTTTTAGCTCCGGTTTTCACCCAACTTTTCTTTTTCCACTTTCACCAGTGTGAATTGAGTGCCTCTCAATTGACATTGGAGCACATACAATATGTGCCGGTAACCTTTTCTGGCCCGAAACCCCATTTCTAGGGCACAAGGGACTTCCCTAGGGTACAAAGCCAATGGCTGGCGCTACTAGCAGCCTCCTGTGACAAAAGGCTGCGCTTCACTTTTGCTGTGTGGCACTTCGTGTGGCAATCCCCCGATCAGTCCGTTTCCCTACCTGATCAACAATAGGTCTTATGAGGGATTAATATGGATAACCTCATGGTCCAAGTTATTATAGTTATGGCCATTTTGATCCATTTTGATTGAACAATACTGTGGATGGAATCGGGAGCCCTAGCTCTCAGACAACCCATCTGGATGCTCTTCCAAAATTGAAACAGGAAATATCGTGAAATATCGCCGCTGAAAGTCATTCCAGAAGGAGAACACAATATTGGTTCATGTAAATTGGTGAGAAGCAAAACTCCAGGGAAATCCAGGGAAGAGGGTAGCGGACTCTCCAAGACGGAGGTTGCTTGCACATTGTTCTGGTGGAATCTGCCAATAGCGATTGGAGTTTCCCTCGAAAGGCCCTGCCTTGTGCTGGGACTGCAGCTATCCCAGACTTTGCGCACCAGACTCGCACCCTCTTGGTTCTTGGCATCCCAAAAGTCATAGCTATCCTCAGCGTCAAAAACGGACTGGAGATGCCCTTGTGACACCTCCACGTGATGGTCTTGATGGTCCGTTCTCCGCGATCGGTTTTGCTATAACTCCAAAAAGAGAGATACCTCCACCTTCTTCCTACAAATCGCACACCTTTCCAAGTTCCAAAGATGATCTGATTTTTTGCCACACGTTTCCTATCGAAATTAACGCCTTAAAATTACCGATTCCAAGCTTTCAAAAATGTTTGTTGTTCTTTCCCAACCCATTTCTGCTATAGTGAACGCCCCCATTTCTGGTTCTAGATCAGTATTCTTGATATTTACTACCCATCTCTCACCACCCAGCAATTCCAATTTCTCCGAGGCTCACCATTGTGCCAGCCATGCCAATGATAGGCTCCCATCACTCCCAAGGTTTTCAGCTGTTGAGCCAGTCCCTTGAGACAGTTGGCATCATCAGGATTCTCCATCGTCAGGGCGGCACCGAACTCAGTGATGATGACTCCTACGGCGATGCGAAGTGGAATGAAGTGGAGCATCGCAGAGGGGCAAAGCAACGGTGTAAAGAAGGGATGACAAGGGTGAGTTGTGAAGATGAGAACTTCAATGAAATCCATATTGTTTCAAGATGAATCAGCACGATTCAATAACTTTAGGAACTGGTGACTTGTAGTACTGTAGCTATTCCAACTGACTGTGCAATGGAAAACGGATCAACCAACAAACGCAAACCAAAGGGGGCAAATGATATCATGGACTGGGTAGCGGATGTAGCATGTTTATTTAGTACCAGTTGCAACCCAACTTGACGTCCAGGTGAGATCCAAAGCAAGAGCCAACCCTACCAATCATGGGGTTTCTCTAAGCAACATTCATCTATCAACCATCTAGTTATCGACCACCTATTCACCATCTGCATCATCTATACCAACCATATCATCTATAATTGGCCATTACTTGGCTAGTAGTACGTGATCAGTAGATGCTTAATGGCTAGTTCATAGATGGTTTCTTATGTTGGTCACAATCTGATTTATTCAAAAGAAACAATCCGGTTCCCACTTACTACCCATTTAATAATTATAAAAAAAAACAATTTACTTTACTTCGTGTGATCCCCACCATGACATTTATACATTTTGTTACTGGCAAATCTTCTGGCATTCTATCTGACATATTTTCTGGCATTCGATCTGGCATTCTATCTGGCATATCTTCTGGCATTCTACCTGGCATATCTTCTGGCAGATGTTCTGGCATATCTTCTGGCAGATGTTATGGCATATCTTCTGGCATATCTTCTGGCAGATGTTCTGGCATATCTTCTGGCATTCCATCTGGCATTCTATCTGGCATATCTTCTGGCATATTATCTGGCAAATCTTCTGGCATTCCATCTGGCATTCTATCTGGCATATCTTCTGGCATATTATCTGGCAAATCTGCTGGCATTCTATCTGGCAAACATTCTGGCACTTTATCTGGCATATCTTCTGGCATTCTAGCTGACATTCTATCTGGCATTCTATCTGGCATATCTTCTGGCACTCTATGTGGCATATCTTTTGGCGTGGATACTCGCGGTTGAGGTCCGGCAGGGAACACTGGGCGTGGATGGTCGTGGTTGAGGTCCGGCAGGGAACACTGGATGTGGATGGTCGTGGTTGAGGTCCGGCAGGAAACACTGGGCGTGGATGGTCGTGGTTGAGGTCCGGCAGGGAACACTGGACGTGGATGGTCGTGGTTGAGGTCCGACAGGGAACACTGGGCGTGGATGGTCGTGGTTGAGGTCCGGCAGGGAACACTGGCAAGCATGGTCGTGGTTGAGGTCCGACAGAGAACACTGTGGATCGCGAGTCGCAGTTGAGCAGGAGGACGAGGAGGACAACGAGAGGAGGAGGACAACGAGAGGAGGAGAGGAGAGGAGAGGAGAGGAGGAGGAGGAGGACCAGGCAACTGACATAAAATCTAACAACCCTCACCTGGCAGGTGGGGAATTAACTAGGGTCTACAAGCCTGGGGGCATAGGTTTCTAGTAGATACAAGAGGTTTTATAATGCAAGCAGCCAGTTGGTAGACACGGCGGCGACGTCACCATCTTTCAACCATCGTTTGAGCTTTTACAAATCTTTTGGTTGATAGATGATTAATTTTAATATGTCTTAAACAACAATTGGTGATTTGCACATCATCCAATTATCCATCTACCCATACAAATCATCCAATCTTATGGGTAAAAACATCAACTACCCTCTGGTAATTTAACATAACTATGGAAAATCACCATTTATAGTGGATTTCCCCATGAAAAATGATGATTTTCCATAGTTATGTTAGTTTACCAGAGGGTACCCATCCAAATTTCTAGGTAAACAAATGCCAAAACTATGGAAATCCTATGCCAAGGCTCGCTGTGCCACGTTGGCCAGGTCCGTCTGCAGCTTCGAGGCAAAGTTCGCGGCGCTGCGTTGACCCTCCTGAAAGAAACATGATGGTTATAATTGGATATAATCAATCTGAGAACCCATTTTAATGGGAATTATGAATGATATTTTAATGGGATATTTTAATCATGATGGTGATTTTAATTATGTATATCTGAGAAGCTGTTGAAATGGGATATAATTGGATGGGATAATTAAATATCATCAACTACTTGATATGATTTCTGATTTGCTGATAAAGAACAGGTATTTTTTTCACACCAGGGGTCCCAATCTCAACTTCTCCAGTCATACCTTGGTGGGATGGATTTAACTCCTCCATCTTCCCCACTTGGAGCCCAGCCGGTGCCCCCAGTCCGGAAGCCAATTGGGGTAGAAGTGGTATCCCAGAAAGCCTCGCCATCCCAAGCTGGAAACCACCTGGCCGCAATACTGGCAGCCAGGATGGAAAGGAAGCAATATTGAACACCACAAAACCAAAAACATGTTCAATCGGTATGAGACGGCCTCTTTCCAATGATTTCAATCTTGGAGACCGCCTGAAAACAGATTCCAAGACAGCCTGTCAAACACTTGTGCACGACATAGTCCGCCAACTACAAAAACATGTCACACTAAAGGATACAGTACTAACAGGATATTACTTAAGATATCTATCCTTTTGGTGGTTTATATATATATATATATATCCCAAAAATCAATGGATGCACATCGACTCCGCCTGGACATTGTCGGCATATCCACAACCATCCAGGATGCATCGCTCCAGTGGCAACTGCGCCAGGTGAATCACTTGAAGCATGTCGTGCAAATACCTGGGGCTTTGGTTCATAGGAAATCCTGCGAGGTTGAACCAAGGACAAACCATGGAATATATGTGGATGCTACCTCGAAACAAAATTGGACAATCTTGGCAGCTTGAACTGTTGAACCATGGATGATTGTAGACTTGTGGATGCATGTTTCCTGGGTCACTCTTGCGTGAAACAAAGTGATTTGCCTGGACTTTTGATCAATGGGGCCCTTTTGCGGACAAAGCGTACATCCAGGACGTCACGAAACGGATTCCAAGTCACTCTTGTGGATCAGAATAACCAAAGGGTTCATTGAAGATCTCATAGAGAACTGGGCCTGCATTGTCAAACAAACCCCATGCAGGGGATTCTTTTGGTTTAATTAATATGCAATTGTTCGTTGCGTTCAATTGATCGAGAACATGCAGCTTTTTGGTTGGAGACCTCATGTACAAGTCCACATATCGGAAATGTCGTTTGCATGTTTTTTCTAAATATCCCCATGTTGCTAAATTCAGCCGTTCATCCTTCAACATTTTTGGGCATAGCCGATGTTTCTCCATCCATGTCATGACCCTTTTGAGTGTTTTTTTTTGCCCATTCTGCTGGGCAAAGACTTCGACCAAAACCAATCGTTTTTAAGGGGGGCGAACCACCATGAACCACAGCAACACCACCATATTTGTTGGTACAACTGGAATTTCCCGTTTCTAGTTAAATCAACTGGGTGACGGTTCCCCAAGATCTGTTGAGTGTTATGCCACATTTCTGTTGTGAACAAATCCAACTTTTACTGGCCAACTTTGGCGCATTCTGTTGCTTTTGACACTATACATATTTACCCGGTAATTCTGTTGGCCAGACCATGAAAACTTCATCAGACAGGCTTCTATCCCCAGATTTCCAACCATCCAATTTTTGTCAACAGCCCATTTAACCATTTTTCCCAAGGCACTGGACCCAAAGACTCCATGCACCGCACGCCAGACCTCCGCTGCGCACTGCAGCGCAGCAGCGTCGCGCAAGCAGCCCAGGCCATGGGGATGGATGGCGATGTCGGGGGATTCCTCGAAGAAACAGAGGATTCCTGGCGCTATGGATGGCGACATCGCCTTGGGATACAGAAATCAAGTTGAAATGAAAGGCACTCACGGCAGGGCCGATTTTTGGGTTCATAAAATTATAGGCTTCATTTTTTGTTTCTGATTGAAACATGTCAAAACATGTCAGATATTTTCAGCTCCATCCTCTCACGAGTGGCCGGTCCTTGGTTGTCCAGAGCCTCCAAATAGGACTGCAATTTCCTGGGGCCAAAATTTGGGAATGCCTAGCTATTCGGGTTGAAACATGTCCTAGCTATTGGGGATTCCTCATGATGGTTGTGAATTAATTGATTTACAATTAAACAATAACCAATTAAGCTAATATATCTTCAGTTACTCAAAGGAATGGTAGACTAAACTCAAAGAAGGTGCATCAAGCGGCAAAGCCACAAGTCAAACAAAAAATACGACTCTGTCTGAAAATAGGCTATATCCCTTAAATAAGTCCATAACTGAAATAAGTTAGGGGTGCAGCCCCCATTGACACATCGGGCCGGGCGGCTGAAGACACGTGGGATCCCTCCCAGAGGAGACGTTGATGGGCAAACGTACCGCAGAGATCCCGTGTGCCCTCAGCTGTCTCACATTCTCCACGCTGTAGTCGAATTTATACACACCTGGCTGGGGACCTTCTGGGAAAATGTTTCATTCACTTGCGGTACCATCACCACAACCCGATTGCCCTATGGCCCTATGAGCCATCCAAATTGCCATTTCGGAGGGGATAACATACCCCCATGTTTAGATCCACATTGCCAGGATCCTACCATCTGCCACTATAGTCACTATTCCTCAAAAAACTGACCATTCACTGGGGTCCAGCCTGGAATAAAACCCCCACTGTTGCTGCTGCCCTGTGTGGCAGGGAGGTTGATACCCCGCGCAGCTGGTGCTACTGCCATTGCCATTAACCCAGGCGCGGGGTGAAATTGTGGCACCTTCCAAGCATGGGCCCAGCATGGGAAACTGGAATACACAAATGGTGAAATGAACCAACAAAAAGAACGCACAAAAAATGGCGATGGAATCGATGGAACATGCCAGAGTTTTAGATTAGAACCAGCAGCAATCACAGGTTCTTTGAGAGTTGGGGATGGAAATTTCAAAAAACCTCAGCTAATTTCAACAAATTACCGCTGATTTCAACTGTGATTTCCTGGTTGAGCCAGAACCTGCTGATGGCAATCACGCATCGTTTCTCCCAAGGAGACCTAAAACTTGGACCAAAAGCTTCCCGTACGATGACGATGACTGGAAGTGGTTTATGGAATATGTAAAAAGGCTGTTACATGGTTCCACTATGTTCCACTGATCTACAAAAAAGTACCCACATCTTACAATGACCTCAATCTATCCTATCAAGTCCTATCATAGCTTCAGCTTCCCAAGTGCTTTCCCACTGAAACTTAACATTATTTTCGATTCAAAACAGCACACACATCTGCACATCTGGAACTGGGCACATCTGGAACTGACCGGTCAATCTGTAGCACAGGGCTCTCCAGCGGTCTCCGACGGTCTCAGGATCTGAGGTCAGCACATCTGGAAATGTGTTGTAAGGCTGCGCCCTCAGTGAATCGATGTCTGGAACACTTCCCAGCACTCTGGGGATGGTTTTTTAGGATATATGATATAGAATGATATAGATATAAGATGATATATGGGTTTCCTAAGTCATAGGGGTACCCCCAAATCATCCATTTTTTGTTTGGGCTTTTCCATGAAATCAACCCTCCAGCTATTGGCGTACCTCCATGGCTTAGGAAACCTCCATATAGATCCTCAGTATCCACAATATCCACCCAGTGGCGGCCTTGGATTTCACTGAGCGCTCGACATGCTGGGCTCTTCACCCCGGGCCGCGGCCTGTGCGTAGCGGTTGTTGAAGTGGGATGGACCCTGAGATCGCTGAGAATCACCCCTTAAATAAACCACAGCAATTGCCACCGTGATCTCCATGTGATCAAAAGAATTTCATAGGAACAATTGTGAGTAGTTATGAGCTAAACACAATCCACTATTTTGGCATCATACCTGACTATACCCCCAAATGCATCTGTATGCCAGTGGGCCGTGGGTACCCGGCCTCCCTTCGTTGAGCGGCGCAATGGCGGGCCAACCGGTTTTGGGGCCCAATGGCTGTCCAAAGATGGAAGTTCTACAAACTCGGAACTGGTGCAAGATTTCAGGAAGCAGGTGAACAATTCATGCTTTCTACATTTGTATAAAGCACCCTTGAACAGATTTGTTCAACCCTGATATCAAGGGTGTAATAGCGTGAAGGGGACTGCCTCGAAACAACCAGTCTGCCCGCATGTATCAACATATGTGTGACACACATCAAGATACTCAAAGTGATGCCATATACTTTTTAGGGATCTGGGATGATCACAACTTGGGTCACAACTGGCAAACACCTTGGGATATGCACATCTATTAAACCCCACGCCCCTTCTTTAAGGCTATAAATAGCCAGCGGAAGAGGAACGTGGCCACTTTGGGGAATGATGTTGTGTCTATGTACGCTGCATGATTGCTTTGGAAGTCATAATGATTCATCACAACTCCTTTTGTAATTCCTATGTTAGACTCCCTAAATGGAAACCAACCGAGAACAACAAACTTGAAGCCTCATCTATTCTAGCCAGTTCGCAATATCATCATCTCATGATCAGTTCATTTCACAAACTTTGCCATGGCACAGTTTTTTTTTGCGTTGTCGTCCACATCACACCTGCACTTTGGCCTTGGCCAGGATCATTGTGGATACTGGAAAAAATGATGCGGCATGGTTCAGGCAGAAATCATGGACAATCATGGAGAAACCTCAAAATCCTCAAGCCTTCTGAGGTTCCCACAACGGTGGCGAGGAACAACTGCTCCCATGAATCAACGACCTGCTACATGTAGCAACTTTGGGTACATGTGGGGTGGCTAAAACATGCTATATAACATTTATAGCAACTCCGAGTCCGTTAAATTCCGTTAATCTCTGAAGCAGGTTTCATTGGGTTTCGCAAGGATTTCGACATGTCCTCCAACTCCTACATTTCAGGTGCAACATCCAGGATTTCGGTGTGGAGGTTGAAGAATGATCTCTCTGCTATCTTTGGATCAAACCTTTTCCTCATTGGATTCAGCAAAAGCTGTACAGAAATCGTCCATTCCATATCTGGTTTGTATGTTTTACTATTGTTTCCCCTGGTTTCCTCTCGATTTTTCTATTGCATCCACCGATTTTTGAGGGTTCCGCCACCTTGCCTCAAACCAGGCTGGGTCTCCAGTTTGGCGGACGCCAATCGCACAAAGGCTCCTCAAATGGTGGGACTTTGCTGAAATACAGGGAGTTGATCAACGCATTCATTGGATTGGTTGAAGGGAATTTTGCCGGACAGCCCCATATTTCAAAGAAACAATGGTTTCCTGTAGATTTTCCCTTAAACCAATCCAATGACACATCCAAGAGAAACAACACAAGATCAAAGTTTGATCATTACGGAATATGATCCAAACCACAAAGGATGATATGATGGAGTAAACCACAAGAGAAAAAATCGTCAACACACACATACAATTAATGTTATCCTAGGATGAATAGCCACCCCTTTTAACCCGTACAGTAAATAAATCGATATCGGGACACAGAATAGATTGTATGCATTGCTGAAGAAATTGCCTAATTGAATAATTTAAAAACAAACACATTGAACAAACAAACACAACTCACTGAAAAATTGCATAATTTAAAACAAACACATTTCTAATAGCTGGCATACTTTATTCACGGGAGGTATGGTTATTTGTTGGCAACAAATTGTTGGAGGCTTGCTGATCCCAGGAAAACATAGGAGTTTATTGGGGATTCACCAGGGAACCGAACCTGCAGCATTTTTCACGGGGGATTGCCTGGACCACCAAAAAAAGACCCAGTTTTATCGTAGAACTTGAACTATGGCAATTTAACATATGGAAACTGTCCCATAGATGATTTACCATGACTGCCGGTTGTGAAAGAATGCATGAACAATCTGACGAGATGCTAAATCCTATTAATCTTATGATTTGCATTGTTTTGCCTACAAAACATGGTGATTTTCCATGTGTTGAATATTGTGAAAGGGAATGCAACTTGCCAAAACGCTGGGCAATGCATCAACAGGCAGCTGAGGTCACAGTTTACACAGTTCCACCGGAGGCATCAACAGAAAGGACCATGATGTGCGAATATCATCAGGTTGGTGGTTTCAACCCCTGATTAATGATGGTTAATGGTGGTTAATGGTGGTAAATGATGGTAAATTATCTGGTTGGTGGTTGACCTACCCCTCTGAAAAATATGAGTTCGTCAGTTGGGGTTATGACATTCCCAACTGAATGGAAAGTCATAAAAGCCATGTTCCAAACAACCAACCAGTCATGTTTGAAGGGCGGTTGATATTGATCTGCCCATAGCCATCTGAAGAAATCCGAAGAAATGAAGCGCAATCAACTCCCATCCTGTGCCATCGTTTGATTTGAAAGCCAGCTGTAGGTCAGGTCATAGTTGGGCATCATACCAAGAAATTGAATGGAATTTGTTATGTAGATCTTTGGTAAACTAACATAACTAGTGAAACTGGCAATTTTTAATAGGTAAACCATCTATAAATGGGCCATTTTCCATGGCTAGATCTTTGGTAGATCTTTGGTCCAACAACTGACAAATCTAGCTGTGGGTCCAATCTACCTGTAGGTCCCAAATGGTCTTTGACTTTGACAAAGCTAACGCCATAAGCTAACACCATCCCGACAAAACAGGGTTCAACGAACCCTGAAAAATGGTAGGCTTGTTTCCATACCCCACAGTTCAGAGGATAATTATCCTTTCGCAATCCAACATGATAATGCAGAATTAACATGTATATATATATATATCAATGTCCAACTGTATCTGGGTCTGTTCCAATTACCATGTGGGTCCTGACCAGTTGGCCGACGCAGCCATTTTCCAACCCAAGTGCGCAACTCCCACCGTCTCTGCGTTTAGAAACGCAGTGAACCTTGGATGCAAAACGGTCGGTGGACCTCTTTTGGATCATACCCATTGCTCAGCAGCTGGGTGGCCCTCATAGTGATTCGCAACGATCCACCTGAGTTGTTTGGGAATTTTGGTTTTTGGCAAGTAGATGGATGGGCTCCATGATCACTTGACAAAGAATCTGAAGACCCTTGCTTAGATCGATCTATGAACTATTCTATGAATTTTGGTTGTCACCAAATATGATCAACCAAGCTACTCTCTCCTGACCGCAGCAGCCTTCTTTTTCCAATCTTCTCCTGCCCCTCCTCCCCTCTTCGCAGCGACCCAAGCGTTTGAGTAGACCTAGGATGCGGATGCAAAAATGGGAGAACACTGGGCAAAAGAAAAGCTTCCAGAGAGCATGAACAAAAAACAAAGCACATTGAACTTGAACTGCACTATCTGCACTTGAACTTGAAATTTAAACCTAGCTGCTGAATGCATTTTCTTCTTCAATGCAACTGTCTCTGCATCATCTGCATCAGACCCTTTTGCCTTCCCTTTTCCCTTCCCTTTTCCCTTGCCTTTTCCCTTGCATGCTGCCTTTGCTTTTGCCTTGCATGCTGCCTTTGCGCTTGCCTTGCATGCTGCCTTTGCGCTTGCCTTGCATGCTGCCTTTGCTTTTGCCTTTTTGCCTTTGCTTGGTGATGTCTTTTTTGTCTTGCGTTTGCTGCTACATGCTGACTTTCCGGTCGGCTCCAGTCGTTTCTTGGGCTTTGGGGTCTTTGGCTGTGTCTCTTCAGGCTCTGGGGTCTTTGGCTGTGTCTCTTCAGGCTCTGGGCTCTTTAGCTGTGTCTCTTCAGACTCTGGGGTATTTGGCAGTGTCTCTTCAGACTCTGGGGTATTTGGCAGTGTCTCTTCAGACTCTGGGGTATTTGGCAGTGTCTCTTCAGGCTCTGGGGTCGTTGGCAATGCCTCAATTACCTGTGGGGTCTTTGGCGGTGTCTCTTCAAGGACCGTTGGTGTAATGTTTGGGCTCATACCATCATCATCCCCAAACCCTGTGCCATTGCGCGGTGACCTTTGGGTGCTGAGGTCCTGTAACTTTCGCAAGGCACCATCAATTGCCTCAATTGTGGCTTGAACCATTTCCCTAGTGACAAGACCATCACCCTCAGTGACTGAAAGACTCTCCACTTCAATCCTCTCCTGTGCCCAATCTAGCTCATGGCCAGTGTGAAGCGCCATGCCCTCCATATGCTGGAGCATCGTATCGATTTCTTCCTGGGGCACCAGTATCATGGAGTTGTTTGGAACGAACATGACAAAGACATCTCAGAAACAAAAAACCTGACATTGACCACGGTTTGATTTTCAAATATTTTCAATTCACCTGACCTTTAATGACTTGATTGCTTTGTCAGTTTGAACTCAACTCACATAACTAAGTGATTCCCAAACACTAACCGTGAACCAGAATTTCACGATATTGTTGAATGCAGTTGATCATGTTTTGATCCTCAGCCATCTCAGGATTGGTGGCATCTTCGATACCTTCATGCATCGGTACCTGGGAGGCTGGACCGATGGGGAGCGGCGACCGATGGTGAAATTTCCAACATGGTGTTGATCCATTTCTTAATCAATCCAGGATACTTGGAAAAGTGCATAGCGAGGATCTTGTTTGTATGGAGTGTCTTGGAGACCAAGCTGGTTGTCAGGGTATTCCCATAAACCGGTGTCTTTCGGGTCAGGAGTCCTTGGAAGTGAGACATGGGGCTAAATAGGACACAGTGGGCTTATACTCTTAAATAGCCATGAGGGCCAGACAGTTCTGCAGCATCATGATGGGCCTATCAAAAAAAAATAAAGGGCAACCCATGTTTGTAAAAACCAACAGTGATTGGACTTAGAATAATCGGTTGTTTCATGTGCACTTGCCCACCTCCTCACCCCCAGTGATCTCAAAGTGGAACGGCTCCAGAGTTTGCTTGATGTTGGGCTCCTGATGCTCCTGATAGGATGGCAAATTATGATCATAATATGATATGTTATGATATGCTATAATATGCTATGTGACACTGATATGTTTTTCGAGGGAGGTTGCTCCTCAGCATCCGCGCGCTTGCGGCTCTTTGTGGCTGGTTTTTTCGATACATTGGCAGCAGGCCTCTTAGACGACACACCCCTGCCACCCAAGTCTTTGGGGACATGTGCTTCCTGCCCTGTGCGAGCATCATCATCACCATTGGAGTCATTTTCATCATCATCCCCCCCAGTAAGTGGATAGGTTTCCTCGATTGGTTCCTCATCATCTTCATCCTGTTTCCGTTTCTTACGCGTGGTCTTCTCTTTTTTGTCCTTTTTTTTTGCCTGTTTCTTCTCCTTATCCTTATTGGTTTTCTCTTTGACATCTTTCTTTTTCTGGTCACCCGAAGAGTCATCTGAAGCCACTCTAGGTGGAAGCGCATGCCCAGCATGAACGCTGGTGCCTCACAGGGTGGATGAATTGACATCATTTTTTAGAAAGACATAAAATATACCTATTTTCAGCAGGCCCCTAATCTAGCCTGAGGGTTCAGATCGCGAAGCTATGTTGGACGACCGTGCTGCTGACGCTGGTGGGGAGCTAGATGACTTTGGCAGGGGAGACGATGATGACCCACCAAGACCGAAAGACGACGTCAGCCGTTGAAGATTGAAAGCCTAAACTGCTTTAGATTGATGTAAATTGATTCACACAGGAAACTCAAACATCAAACTAGGCAGAGGGTCAGAGAGTAAAACCAAACTGATCAACAAATAATGGAAAAACTATCATAAAGGCGAGGGGCAGGTGGTCTTAGGACAGTGGTAAGGGGCACCTCCTGAACTTCATCATCACTCTCATCCGCCATGTTTCGCGGCCACCAAGCGACGCCAAAAGCAAAATGCTACGCGCATGGTCAAGGCACTGTAATCTGATCTGTGAAACCTTTTCATACCTTTTCAGCACATCAAAACACTGCACAAACTACCACATATCACACACCAAACGCCGCGTACTCTACCATACCATTCTTCATATATCATGCATCAAAAACTATCATTTATTATTATCAATGGTCAAACCACTTCTTATATCATATCATGACTGTCATATCATATCGCCAGTTGGTTTCCACAACATACTGTTTGCAACACATCGTCACGCACACACTCAGTAGGCACAAGTTTTTGCTCTTGGGTTTGGATTTGGCGCTGCTGCTTTGCACAGTACACAAAGAGGAAAGGATTGACATACTCACACCGTATACCGCAAATTTGACCAAACTCAGGGGTTGATTTTAATAACAGGCAATAGAATCAATAGACAGATCTCCCATGTGAGTAGTCACTCCCAACCTACCCCACTCGGCTAATGTGAGTTGGGAACATCAAAAGTGCCATGACCTGCACCAGCTCAGCGCAATGCAGCCCGCTTTGTGAGCTTGTCTTACCGCATCAAAGATCTCAAAGTAAACGGAAAACATCTTTCTTTTGTGATCTTTACCTGAAACACTGAAACACCATTATCCCAAAACTGGTTGCCACAATGGGCCACAATCTTCAAAGAAGAAAACTGTCTCTAAGCCTCAGCCATTCAGACGAGCCTGACTACGGATTCCCCTAGATCAACAATGCCCTCCAAACATGCCACGGGGCGAATCGGCATCAAGACTTTTGTTCCTTTCTCAGCACTGCAATCGATCCTGGAAGGGGCATGACTAGTAGGTCAGCACTGAGATATCAGGAATATGTGGGCATCAAAGGTCACCCTTCAATAATGTCCAATCAAGTTCAATCCATAGTAACCATAGTAACAGTAATTAATAAATAGTAATTATGGATTGAACTTGAATTAACATTAATCAATCAGGGTTCCTTAGCGCTTTGCTACAGGTGTTGGGGTTCAGCTATCTGTGTCGGACCAGCCTGCATCGCCAGGCAATGCAAACCGACTTGGACGACTTCATGGCAGAGACAGACAAGGCCGAGCCAAAGTTCTTGAAGGTCAGGTTTTTTTTTCGATTTCTTCTCCTTGCCCTTTTTGCCGGAGTCAGGGGCAACAAACTCATCCATGACAAACACCAGTTGCTTCGAGTTCACCCAGTCACCCATAGTCTCATTGAAGGTGTGGTGGCTCACGTCGACTTTGACCTTCAGATTACATGGGTCAGAGTGTTTAAACATTGAAGTTCAAACATTGACATTGACGTTCAAACACAAATCTTTGAGTATCTTTCTGGCGAAACCATCACGACATATGATTTTGAAAACAATACGATTTTGAGACCATCGCATTTTGAGACTAGATGATTTTGGGAAGTCACCCTGCCTCTCCCAGATCTTGCATATCAACCATAAGGGCTTGAAGTGAGATAGCCATCTCCAAGCTTTCCATCTCCATCAAATGCTGGGGAAGCGACTTCTTCTCCAGGATGATTAGTGATTGTTTGTTCACATTGAAACTGAACCACCGGCCCTCCACATCCTGGAGCACTTCTGCAGCCTCCTCAGGCGGAGGTGATTTCCGATGGTCGCGGAGGCAAAGGATATGGCATGGGGAACATGGAACATGGGGAACATGGGGATCATTGAGAGCATGGTAAAAGATTATGGTAATGCATTGTCAGGAGTCCTGTCCATCTCTCCATTCTCCAGGGCCCATTGAAAACCTGAGTGGTACAGTGGTGGACCATTATGGCTTCAGGTGCATAATAGCTCGCAAGAACATGCATGATAGCTGATAACATATGAAGTGTTTTTATTTTTTGTACAGTACATGATGTAATAAAATAAATTTGACAAAGTATGTTACATACATGATCATGCATGTCATATGCAACACATCATGTTCACCTGCATTCAGTAAACATTGTTTAAGCTAGGTATTATGGCTAAATAGGTGACAAAAAGTACATGCCAATTTTGTATGAATGATTCATGCTAATTTTCAAGAATTCACAACGCACTGTTTCTTATTAAGTTAGCTATAGGTGGTATCATTCCCACACACAATGATTGATGGATATGCCCTTTTTGAAACAAATTTATCAAATAATAAAGACTGGAACATGTCATGTGTTGGGAAACCGAAAGCAGGAAATAGAATCAAGGCACAACTCCCGCTTGTCCAGGAATTGGTTCTTGCTCCGGGATGATAGGTACACCTTCTCCATGGTATCCCCCCCCACAATGAGGTCACACGTGTTGTTGATTTGCAGGGTCTGCCTGGGATGCAGTAAGCTAGAGGATGAACTATTTTTTTACTGTGTATGTGGCCTGATAGGGTCTGATAAAAATACAGGGTGATAAGAAGGCATGGGGAAAAACCCTTGGCCCAAAAGAAAATTACTACACGAAGTTAAAGTACACATTGGGGATCTTGGAAACATCCAGTTCCGAGCAGGTCTCCAGTTTGAGCTTCTTTGCAGGTCTTTCGGCGTCGTCATCTTCGGCAGATCCAGCAGTCCTGTTCCCAGCTGGGCAGAATTGAGCAACCAGTGGATGGCTATGATGAAATTATCCACAAAAATGTTGTTGTTATTCTTCTTGTTGAGATTGGTGACATTTTAACCGTTGCATGGATGCCAAAAAGAAACATTGCGACTCCATATAGTCAGCTGAAGGTAAGTATAAACGAACTGCCGTTGTCATGTCAGATGAATAATGTATTGTTTATCTAACTAGTAGATAGTACGGTAAGTGTTTTTGAACAAGGACTAACATCATGGGAGATTTGGACATTGTGTCCTGTCAACCAAAACGAAGTCACCTTCTACATTATATTCTGCATTGTGTGATTCAATGATGGCTTGTGCTCGCTCTTGGGTTGATTCGGTAGTAAGCCACCGCTTTGCAAAAGAGTCCAAGACCATCAAATTGTTCCCCCGCACTGCAGTCACCTTGAAGGGCTGGGTTCGTTCTGTGATGGCGCCAGCCTTCAAACCTTCGAGATGTGGAGTGAAGTCTGGGAAGGATGGAATTTTGATAGAACCTGCCCTCCCCAGCTCGTAGAGCTGGTTGCCAACACGGGTAGCCAGATCAGAGCCAGAGGCCTCAAGGCAAATGGTAGCACATTGGCAGTGCCTCCCCTCAGCCATTTCCTTGACAGGGTAATTTTGGTCTGGTATAATGGACTTATGATCGCATTGAAACCAGTAAGGGAGTGGTACAAACATGTGCAAACGAAGTCCTCGATGCATGTCAATGCAGGGAACGCATCGTAGCCGAAAAGGTCAACCAACAATGTCAGCTTGGATGTGGGAATGCCAAAAGCACCCAATGTGGCCTTGATGAAATGCGTCCCAGCTGCCACCTCATCAGGGGATCTTGAAAAACCATGCTGAACATATTCTGTGAGGTAAAGGTTCCTTTTTTTGGACAAATTGTATCGAATCTAAAGAATACACATGATGAGTAATCCCATATTCATGGCGGAATGGTAAGACTTTGTTTCCCGCGTCAGTAGTGACACAACATGAACAGGATCTAAGTATCCCATCGACTCGAGAACTGCATATATAGGTCAACAACACCCCAGTCCGCCCATGGGTCAGACTAGCTGTTTCTCCCAAGCCTGCTTCAGCTCCTGTACATCCGTGAACGCACGGCCAAGGTGAGGAAGCCTTCCCGGCGATGCCTGCAGGCGACATCAGGTGGTTGGACTGGAGCAGACTGCAGGTAACAGTATCAAAACAAATATTAATAACCAGGGGTTCCTACGGCATACAATCCACTCTAAAGTCTATTTGACTCAAGTCCTTTATAACTCATAGTTATGCATTGTTCATATAACAACCTACTATCAATCTACTGTACTATCAATCTACTATAGAGTTCACTGCAAACTAACTGTCAGTTTACAAAGAACATCACAAAACAGATGCTTGTTTGGAACCTTGATACTGGTTGTAACACAAGGTATCTGGGAATCAATTTTTGATGGAACAGGCCTGCTCTGGCTTGAACATCTGCGATCGGGGATGCATCTTCACCTGGTGGACAGTTCCTGTTTTAAAGCCCCGGGTAGATCGGAACAGGTTGCGAGAGTCCCTGTTCACAATGGCAAGTCCAGTCACCACACCATCACGCTTGCCATACACAGTGTCCTTGGTTGTACAAAGTGAGCTAAGTTCAGACATCATTCTAGTCATGCACGGTTGAAAATATGATACAAAACTGTAATTACTGAGGATGTAGAGTATGCTGACTTACCTTACGCCTGCAAAAAATATTGGATAAACTTTGGGGCATGATCTGATTGAAACCCCATTCATTGATTCAATAACTTCATGATCTTATGTTGAGCTTGTTTTTGGGTGGATCTCACCAGACCCATAATCAAGTCCGAGCTTCAGGGTCAAAGATCCACGTGAGGTTTCGAACACGCAGATTCCGTTCCTTCATCGCAAATTCTTTCCTCAACTGAAGGGACTAAATTGGACATACTGAAGAGTTGAAAATACCATTGGCCCCATAAATAGTAGATTTGATATCATGATGGCAAATGAGATGACAAACAACAAAGTTTTCTAACTTCTAAGGATGTTCTCAATGGCATATCGAATGTCACGAACTTCGACAGCTTCAGCTTCCTTGGAATCATCATCCTTGGGCTCCTCCTTTTTCAAGCCATGTTCATCCTCATCAGAGTCATCACCCCCTTTCACGTCAGGGTCGTCTTCCTCCGCTTTCGGTCTCTTCCTGGCAAAGGACGTGTTCAGGGGGCTGAGGTGGGCATGGTGGTTGGGCTCATGGGCAAAATGTCAGAACAACAATGACATGCTTGGATATTATGTCTCATTTTTGGTCAAGCCAAGGCAAGTCGCATACACTCAAAAAAAAAGAAAACAGTCCTGCTGGTGACATCTTG